GGGGGGGGGGGGGCAGCACAGTGAAGATGCTGACAGGAGGAGATACAGTGACAGGGAGAGGAGCTCATCAGTATGCTGCTTCTCCTTTCACTGCCCAATCACAGGCTGGGGGGAGGGACAAGACCTGTGAATGTTACTCACCTGCCGAAAACAAATAAAAGGCAAGGACAAGGATGTCCTGTGCAGCAGAGCTGTGCAAATTTCAGAACCGTATGAACAGAACTTTACATCTTATCTTTACAATACACGTTCTGTCTCCGTACAGCACACCCGTCCTAGTCAGGTAGCGGTGACAACTCAGCTTGTCGATTGCAAGTTCCTGAGCGGCTGGAGGGAGTTCTGTTATGTGAACTACAAGTCCCATGATGCTTTGCGTCTGGTGCGATGTGCTGGGCGGTTCTGGGTGTTACTATTGTACATCACGGCTCGAATACTTCGTTACATGTATGACGAGAGAAGCGGCAGCTAATCAGGAGCGGATGCAGACGGAGCACGGCACACACCACCAGACTACTATCACCCTCCCACAACTGCGCCTGCTGTCAGATCTCTTAAGTGGGTTGGGTGATATGCACTTCTGTGCAATCAATTTCCTTGCCTAGTAATAGAGAATTTTGAGAAAGCCTGTAATTGACCTTATTCTTTCTACTGTAATATCCAGAAAACACATGTCCCATGATACATTAGGACCTGTAGTTTCAGGGCTGTCCACGGGCATCGCTATAGGCATTACATTGGTGTCACTGCAAGCTTATTACAGGCAGGGCTCAGGGAGGTAGGCATTTCATGCTTAATTATATTGAGAGCAGGGATAGGAGAGCAGGACTCAGGAGGACAGGGGTTGAGCAGGTAGGTACAACTAGGCAGGATTGAATGCTAATTTCAATTTGTTCAATCCCACCCAGCATCAGCATTGGGAGACATTTGATGACACCTCTGCAGTTGGGCACTGACCTGTTTGATGCCCAGACCCTTCTCATGCATGTATCCCAGGTTGAACATGGCTTGGGCGCTGTGCTGTTGCTCTGACGCCAGGCGGTAATGGATGAACGCCGTCTCGTAGTCCACTTCTGTCCCGTAGCCATAGTAATGATAGTCACCCAGCTTCAGCCGGGCCAGTGTGTACCCTGCAAGACACTATCACATGACCACCAATACAGAGCTCTAAAATAATTTCTGGCCAGGCATACATCGTATGTTCAGCCTCGGGGGTTTATATCCCTGATCCATCTTTACTGCTGCTTGGGGCTCTGTTAGAGATATTTCCCCTCATTTCCTGTCCTGGGGACAATGTTTAATCAGACAGGAAGTGGAGGGGGGACTCTGCAACAGCAATGCAGACAGAAGGGGGAAGGCCAGAACCCCCATTAGCTTTTTTTTATTGCGGTGTTCCTTTTGCAGATTTCGCCTCACTTCCTGTGTGGTGAAACCGTTGTCACCGTGGCAGAGAGTGAGAGGAAATATCCTTGATGAAGCCCCGGGTAGCAGTAAACACCACGAGGGGTTCCAACCCTTCCCCTCTTCATCCAAAACTAACAAACATTGGGCTGGACGTGCACTTTAAATGACAATTCTGTACAATAGTCGCACTGACCTTGTGCGGCCGCTCGGTTCCAATGCAGCAGAGCTCGGGGGAAAGTCTCGTTCTCGTTTACCATAGAGGCTTCGTCTGTGGACAGACATGTAGAAGATGAAATCTCTGAAGAAGACCATACATGTTACAATCTCATTGTACAATGTCTACCACCAGCTGCATGTAGTGCAAGAGCCTGGCCTGATTGTACACAACGAATGGATTGCTCTGGCAGGACCTCGAACTATATTTGGTTGACCTAAAAGGAGAAGATTCCAAATCATTTCGTATCATGTACGCAGGGGCGTATTCACCGCGAGGCAAACTAGGCGTTTGCCTAGGGCGGCACCCTCCGTCGGGGCGGCTGCTTGTGCTCAGTGGGTCGCCGCGTGCTCAGTGGGTCGCCGCGTGCTCAGTGGGTCGCCGCGTGCTCAGTGGGTCGCCGCGTGCTCAGTGGGTCGCCGCGTGCTCAGTGGGTCGCCGCGTGCTCAGTGGGTCGCCGCGTGCTCAGTGGGTCGCCGCGTGCTCAGTGGGTCGCCGCGTGCTCAGTGGGTCGCCGCGTGCTCAGTGGGTCGCCGCGTGCTCAGTGGGTCGCCGCGTGCTCAGTGGGTCGCCGCGTGCTCAGTGGGTCGCCGCGTGCTCAGTGGGTCGCCGCGTGCTCAGTGGGTCGCCGCGTGCTCAGTGGGTCGCCGCGTGCTCAGTGGGTCGCCGCGTGCTCAGTGGGTCGCCGCGTGCTCAGTGGGTCGCCGCGTGCTCAGTGGGTCGCCGCGTGCTCAGTGGGTCGCCGCGTGCTCAGTGGGTCGCCGCGTGCTCAGTGGGTCGCCGCGTGCTCAGTGGGTCGCCGCGTGCTCAGTGGGTCGCCGCGTGCTCAGTGGGTCGCCGCGTGCTCAGTGGGTCGCCGCGTGCTCAGTGGGTCGCCGCGTGCTCAGTGGGTCGCCGCGTGCTCAGTGGGTCGCCGCGTGCTCAGTGGGTCGCCGCGTGCTCAGTGGGTCGCCGCGTGCTCAGTGGGTCGCCGCGTGCTCAGTGGGTCGCCGCGTGCTCAGTGGGTCGCCGCGTGCTCAGTGGGTCGCCGCGTGCTCAGTGGGTCGCCGCGTGCTCAGTGGGTCGCCGCGTGCTCAGTGGGTCGCCGCGTGCTCAGTGGGTCGCCGCGTGCTCAGTGGGTCGCCGCGTGCTCAGTGGGTCGCCGCGTGCTCAGTGGGTCGCCGCGTGCTCAGTGGGTCGCCGCGTGCTCAGTGGGTCGCCGCGTGCTCAGTGGGTCGCCGCGTGCTCAGTGGGTCGCCGCGTGCTCAGTGGGTCGCCGCGTGCTCAGTGGGTCGCCGCGTGCTCAGTGGGTCGCCGCGTGCTCAGTGGGTCGCCGCGTGCTCAGTGGGTCGCCGCGTGCTCAGTGGGTCGCCGCGTGCTCAGTGGGTCGCCGCGTGCTCAGTGGGTCGCCGCGTGCTCAGTGGGTCGCCGCGTGCTCAGTGGGTCGCCGCGTGCTCAGTGGGTCGCCGCGTGCTCAGTGGGTCGCCGCGTGCTCAGTGGGTCGCCGCGTGCTCAGTGGGTCGCCGCGTGCTCAGTGGGTCGCCGCGTGCTCAGTGGGTCGCCGCGTGCTCAGTGGGTCGCCGCGTGCTCAGTGGGTCGCCGCGTGCTCAGTGGGTCGCCGCGTGCTCAGTGGGTCGCCGCGTGCTCAGTGGGTCGCCGCGTGCTCAGTGGGTCGCCGCGTGCTCAGTGGGTCGCCGCGTGCTCAGTGGGTCGCCGCGTGCTCAGTGGGTCGCCGCGTGCTCAGTGGGTCGCCGCGTGCTCAGTGGGTCGCCGCGTGCCTTCCACTTTTCTAGGCGAGACACTCCTCGGCCTCCCCCTAGCACAGCGCCGTCAGTTCTCACGCCGAGCAGCCATATCAGAATATGCTCCCCGGCGCCAAGTGTCAGCTTGAGGTGGGGTGGGCTGGAAGTATGGCTATCAGGGAGCTCCATCCATACGTGCATGGCTTACAGCTCCCCATGTGTGTCCTGTAGAGGTGTGGGACCGGAGTGACGTCACATTCTGGCTCCCGGCACCTCTACAGGGCGCACATGGGGAGCTGTACAAGCAACGCACATATGGATGGAGCTCCGTCACAGCGCAGCAGCTCACACTGGACACCAGGCTGAGGATCCAGTTCTCGTAAGGTCGGGAGATTGAGTGGAAATTATCATTTATTTTTTTTGGAGTGTCTGTGGTTGTGTGTGTGAGAATGTGTGTGCGTGTGAGATTGTGTGTGTGTGAGATTGTGTGTGCGTGTGAGAGATTGGTGTCTGTGGTTGTGTGTGCGAGAGATTGTGTGTGTGTGTGTGAGAGATTGGTGTTTGTGGTTGTGTGTGTGTGTGAGATTGTGTGTGTGTGTGTGTGAGAGATTGGTGTCTGTGGTTGTGTGTGTGAGAATGTGTGTGCGTGTGAGATTGTGTGTGTGTGAGAGTGTGTGTGCGAGAGTGTGTGTGCGAGAGTGTGTGTGCGAGAGTGTGTGTGCGAGAGTGTGTGTGCGAGAGTGTGTGTGCGAGAGTGTGTGTGCGAGAGTGTGTGTGCGAGAGTGTGTGTGTGTGTGTGTGTATATGTGTGTGTGTGTGTGAGAGAGTGTGTGTGTGCGTGAGATTGTGTGTGTGTGCGATTGTGTGTGTGTGTGAGATTGTGTGTGTGTGTGAGATTGTGTGTGTGTGAGAGTGTGTGTGTGTGAGTGTGTGTGTGTGAGTGTGTGTGTGGGAGTGTGTGTGGGGGTGATACAGAGAGTGAGAGTGTGTGTGGGTGTGTGTGTGTGTGTGTGTGTGTGTGTGTGTGTGTGTGTGTGTGTGTGTGTGTGTGTGTGTGTGAGAGTGTGTGTGTGTGTGTGAGATTGTGTGTGTGTGTGTGAGATTGTGTGTGTGATTGCGTGTGTGATTGCGTGTGTGATTGCGTGTGTGTGTCCGGTGTTTCTGAGGGTCCGTTCACACTAGTAAAGTGCGTCAATCACACAGTCCCATGCGATTACTGCATTGTACCACCCAAGCGCATCTACTGCGCGGTCTGGTGCGCTGCGTTCCCATAATTTGAGTGACAGCCCACACGCACCTCCACCCACAGTCCCATCGCCTGCACCCAGACACCCGGCAACTGCAATGCCGTGCGTTCCATCGCGGTGCGACCTAATGGCCGGGGACACATGTGGGTCCTGAGGTTACACAGGTTGAGAAGCGCCGGCCTAGAGCACACGCTACTACCAGAGCCCTCTATGTATAATTACAATAGACCCCCCAATGGCCAATGAGGAGGTCAGGGAACCTGGACGTGGTGGGCGGCAGAGATGACATTGGTGGGGGGGCCGGACACAACGCTGGAGAAGGGCGCACTTGTACGGCGAGTGTGCTATAGTGTGTAAGTTCGCAGTGCAGCTCACACCCCCTCAGCACCTCATGCGTCTGTACAGGACGCACATTCCATTAGGGAAGCTATACATCGCTTTCTGGGGTCCAGTCCAGTATTACAGTGACCTGGAAACAGAGACTTTTGGCTGAACCCTTCCCATTGAGCTCACTGCCATGCATCAGATCCGGAATCACAGACTCTCGGGGACTATCACAGGGCAGTAAACAGACTCGGGGTCCGGATCACAGGGCAAAGGGCTGCCGAGTGTGCAGATAAAGATGGAGGGATTGCACAACGCTCCCGTTTATCACAATCAAAAACACTTATTAACTTCTCCGCACTCCGAGTGACTCGTGAGAATTGTGCTTCCGTCAGGCAGTTCCAGGATGAAGGCCGCGTTGCTCTGCGCCACCTCGTAGCCTTGTTCGGCCAGCAGCAAGTACTGCACCACAGCCGTGTTGGAGTTTCCGTTCTTGTAGCTGTTATACGCCGTCATCAACCTCTCTGACCAGCGGCCGCGCTCGCACACGTTCTTGAAGAGCTGGGCAGAGGAGAAGGAAGACAAGTGAAGGGGGCTGGAGGGATAAACCGGCTGGAGAGCGGTCAGAGGCAGACGCAGCCCATCATGGTTTGTCCTTCATCTTGCATTTGTCCACTTAAAGTGACACGAAACCCTCAGATTTTGTAACATAAAACAACACTGTAATGTGCGCCGCACTGTAATCCATGGTCGTTCCCCTTCCCTTTGCTGCTCTTCCTTTTAAATCTGTATCTGTTCTCATGCTGGGGGAGAACTTCTGTTTGGCAGCAGAGTGCCTTGTCTCTGGAATGGATACACTGTGTCTGTGTGCAGGTTCACAACCTGAGCCAGCACTACAGGAAGGAGGCACTCAGCTGCAAAGGGAAGTTCTCACCCAGCATGAGAAGACACGAGGATTTAAAAAGGAAGAGCAGCAAAGAGAAGGGAAACTACCATGGATTACAGTGCGGCGCACATTACAGTATTGGTTTATGTTACACAATCTGAGGGTTTCGTGTCACTTTAAGTTGTGAAGATGATGACATGAAATCACCTGCGCTCCATACAGCGTACAGACCTTGGATGAGAGGTTGGCGCTCGGAGTGACCACGCGGATGGCGCTGTGTCAGATACAGTCCATAATTATTATTACATAGTATTTATAGAGCGCCAACAGTGTGCGCAGCGCTTTACAATGTAAGGAAGACATTACAGTCACAATACAATTCAAGACAAGATGGTGAGGAGGGCCCCGCCCCTGAGGGCTTACACTCTAAAAGGGGAGGGGCCAGTGATTTACATGAGGAGGGAGCTGTGTGGGGATGAATTGTTTGAGAACGTGATGGTTGAGTGGTTAGGTTGAGGTGGGATCGGCTTCCCTGAAGAGATGAGTCTTAAGGGATCGCCTAAAGACAGTCAGAGTGGGAGATAGACGGACAGGTCGGGGTAAAGAGTTCCAGAGGATGGGAGAGACTCTAGTGAAGTCCTGGAGGCGAGTATGGGAGGAGTTGACTAGGGAGCTGGAAAGCAGGGAGGTCAATGGATGAGCGGAGTTAGGGTGATATTTTGAGACGAGGTCTGAGATATAGCCGGGGGCGGAGTCGTGGACGGCTTTATAAGTGACTGTTAATATTTTGAATTTTATCCTCTGGGCGAGTGGAAGCCAGTGGAAGGATTGGCAGAGAGGGGCGAGTGGAAGCCAGTAGAGGGATCGGCAGAGGGGGGTGGGGGATGGAAGCCAGTGGAGGGATTGGCAGAGG